AAAAAAAAATCAATTTACTTTGCAAAACTTAAGTGTGTCGATGACCATCAAAGGTCTATCAAAAAAAAAAAATAGAATTTTGCTCAAAAAGACAGATTTCGCAGAAAGTCGCGGCAGTTTAAACTCAAAACCCGCGATACATTTACCAGTTTTTCTCAGTCAGTCAAAGCAGAAAATCAACAGTACTCACGTAAAAATTTCGTGAGCCATGGTGGCTGCCCGTAATGCTCTGATGCGACGCAGGCCGTGTTGAGAAAGACCAGTGTGATTACAGACCAATAGAATACCTGCGTCTTCACTATTACCCGTATTTGGATTCTGAATTTCTTGATTACACCGAGAGCCAGTACGTTAAGGTCGGCTAACCTGGCCTTACGAATTCTTTTACAGATGCAGTAGTAACATCCGCGACGTCGTCTCTCTAAAGAAGGGAAATTAGTTGAACGGTAGCTGAAGAAAACACTGAAGTGCAGCAGAAGCGCTATTGCCTGCATGAAAATCGCCTCAGTCAGTGCACTCGACAGCAAACCATGCCATTCCATGCAAAAATACGTGTGAACAAGCCGACTTGATCGGTAAACTTGACCTAACGGAAGAGCTAGCAGCAAAATGCAACATTGATGCGACACACGTGCGAAATCGATACAGTGATCTATCCGAAGGCTCGGATACTGTGCTCGAACGCTAAGCATGCGTCACAGTCGTGAGAGCGTGCGAGTGCATAACGACGTCATGCACAGCTTTCGCGCATCTACCGTAATCTTCTCCTGGCTCGCCTCCCTCGTCGTCGTACTCCTCGTCCACCTCCTCCTCCTCTTCCTCAAGGTCCTCCTCCGTCTCCGTTGACTGCTGTTTAGACGCGTCTTTCATCTTCTTCTTCGTCTCCGCTCGGCGACGGCCTAAACATCGAAGAACAAGTGCGCAAGGCTACTTCAGTATGGAAACAGAGTGAGCATGTTCGTTGGTTGCTCTGAATGAGGTATAGCAGTTGTGGGCTTTACGGATGTGCTCTAAACGAGTGATTACGATCTCAACAGCAAATTCTGTAGGGGTCGCTGTTTTCGCGATTTTCCGAGTGCGCACTGGCGTACCCTAAGTTTTGTAATTTCATATTTTTGCTAAAATCGCTCATTTACTTTGTGAGCTTAGTAGAAGTAATAATCAATGTTAAAACTTCAGTATACTGAGAATTTTGCAATGTCTGGTGGAATAACAGGTCACGTAATTTTCTCAAAACTCATGACTTTTGCACAATTATTCAGCAAATGCTCAGATGAGTAGTTAAATATAAAGAGAAAAATTGCTTCAATTGGCAAACACCCCTGAAAGCCTCAAATGAAACTCACAAAAATTAGCGAAAGCTGGACATGTTGGAAACAAAGGGTTTGAAAAGCATCATACGCTGATTTCAAAACTGCCTTTGTCATCTGGCAAGCTTTCCTAGACGCGAGTTATGAGCTTTTCCGTCTTGAAAGTTGAACGCGCAACAGGGGCAAATTCGTCCAAGATTGGGCTCAGCGTTAGATATCAGAGTACTCTATACATGAAAAACTTTTGCCTAATATACTCCTGCTCAAACAAATTTCACATGAGACCTAAAGAGACCACAACCCGACTATGTTCAGATTTTGCTACTATCTGTCTCTTCAAAAAACACTCATAACTCAGCATCTAGAGGGGCTCAGCAAAAAAGAAGGTGAAGAATGAAAAAATGTAAGATTGTAAAAAAAATGAAGAGATCTGCATCCTTTCGGTACTCGCAAAAAAACGCCATGTCTCATCCTTTGAGAACAATCCATGCTGCAAAAACAAGCCTCCTGCACATTTCTGTACCGTAACGAACCCTAAAACTTCACCATTCTCTCGTGCACGCCGCTGAAAGATTAGCAGGTGATGTTGGCGGTAATTTCATTATTTTCGAAATAAAAGTCAAGTTTGCAAACAATTTTCATTCGTTCTAGCACGCACAACATCGCTCATCCGTAGTCCTTGTATTACCTGACAGGCAGGTGCAAGTACTTTCGCTTCGTGAATTACGTTAAATCAGAGCTCAAACCCGTGATCTCGTAACCACTCTTGCCAGAGCGCTACGAATGGCAACCAAGCATCGACAGAAACCTTACCGTCGAGAATTGCTTGTTTCTCTTCTTCCGTCGTTCTATCTTCTTTAAGTATTACTTCTTCGGCAGCCATGATCCATTCGAGGTAACCGTTAAGTTCGCGCTCAATCTGCTGCTGTCGTCGAAGCTTCAGAAACTCGCGGCGATTCTCCACTCTTTCTCTTTCTTTTGCAAATTCTCTATAAGCTCAGCTTTATCTTGATTGACTTCGACAGCATCAAAACGATTTGAGAAGCCTCGTGCAGATGTGCAATGGCCATGGATGAGTGATACTTACCCTGACAGAACTCCGAGTACAAGATTCAGCATGAAAAACGATCCCAGCACGATAAGCGGAATAAAATATGCCCAGTTGTAGGTGCTTCCCAACGAATCGTTGGTCTGAAACTCTACCAGCTGCTTGAACATCATTAAAATCATTCATTTTTCCTCTGATTGGCCAAAGCGCGATAAAGTGCTACATATGTCAACCAGAAGTCAAGGAGACTATCAAGCTTCGAAATCATCTTACATAATACATTACTGTGGTCCATCCTTCCATGGTAATACATTGAAATACGGTAATCATGGCGAATGCGATATTGTCGAATGAAGTAATGCCTACAGAGATTGTTAAGATGTGGAGTTCACTATCCCTAGATGACAGAAATGAGGGGAACTCACCATAATTCGGCCCTATCCACTGATTTAAACAGGTAGTTCCAGGTACGTCGCAATTATAAACACCCATAGTGACATGCTTACTTTTATTGGTGCTGAAAGGGGCATCTCGAAAAGCACCGAGGAGCATTGTCTTACACGCATACGACCTACCAAGGTGAGGGCCTCTCACTGACGTTCTCGATCTCACCCCGCTCAGTATAGCAAGCTGAGTGAAAAGCTCCTGAGTAGAACTCAAGCCCGATGATGGCGAAGATCACAATAGCGAACAGCACAAGCAAGCCGATTTGCAAAAGTGGTGCCATTGCACACAAAATCGATTTGAGTACGACTTGCAAGCCTAAAGGTGTCAGGTCAGTTTGCTGTGTGATTTGATGCTGAGCTTCTAACAGTCCTGCCACTACGAGATTGAGCGCAGACGTTAAGTGACACATCCGCTTTTGATATCACCAGAGAAAATAAAACTTTGCCTTCATCTCTACATCAAAGTACTCCAACTAAAACAACGTAATTTTGGTTTTCTGACAGTTTGTGGATGTTTCAGAGGTTCCCAAGAGTGTAAATCATCGGAGAGAGCCTCAAGGAAAATCATACGGTAAACACTGCTTTAGCAAAATTCTTCTTCTTTTTTTGACGATGAAATAGGGCAGTAACGTGGAATATCCGATTTTACTTGCTGCATTTTTAAAAAAAAA